CACACTATTTCCTCAGACCAATTTCATCATAACCGCCATCCCGATAACGATATATATATACACACATAAAGAGATATATAGTGTAATACCGCCACACATTCGAATCACAAATTTTATTGGTGCTGCTTACAATATAAAATCTTTCTCATCGCATGTTTTAAAAGTGTGAAAAACCTGCATGCCGTACGTCCAGGAGAGTCCAAACCGCTGCAAACAGTCTTACTTCCACTCTCTAAAATGGCCGCCGCTCCACTTCCGGTTTCTCGTTTGCGTCTGACGTCACTTCCCTCTAGAGGGAAGTGACGTCAGACGCAAACGAGAAACCGGAAGTGGAGCGGCGGCCATTTTAGAGAGTGGAAGTAAGACTGTTTGCAGCGGTTTGGACTCTCCTGGACGTACGGCATGCAGGTTTTTCACACTTTTAAAACATGCGATGAGAAAGATTTTATATTGTAAGCAGCACCAATAAAATTTGTGATTCGAATGTGTGGCGGTATTACACTATATATCTCTTTATGTGTGTATATATATATCGTTATCGGGATGGCGGTTATGATGAAATTGGTCTGAGGAAATAGTGTGGATGGATCCACATTGAATTATGAGGAGGTGAAAGTGAGGATACTGGCAGAATAATACTCGTTTACTCGTCCCATCATACAACCTACTTGGGGATGTTTATCTAAAGCCTTAAATGATAAACACATTGGTAAGGGTATTCACTCCTTACTGCAGTAGACGTGATTTATGTGTGTGTTATAAACACTTTAAAGAGTGATTCACCTACACAGCTTTTCACTATACATAGTGTATTGGCACACGTTTGCTGTTTACACGTTTTTTGTTTCACTTTTGGTGAATTATCACTGGTTGAGTTATATGATATTAATATATTAAGGATAATGCACTATGTGGTTTCTATTTTTGTTTTTTTGAGGTAAATCAAGCTTACACAAAACTTTGAAGAATTTATCACCATTCTTGGACAATTTTTTTGGACTTAATTTTTTGTTTGAAGGGGACTTTGATTTTATAAATTTTTGGATTTTTGGATACAGGACTTTATGTTTGTTATTATTTGGGGAATAAGAATATTATTTATTATTATCACTAAGCATATTATTTGTATATTCTAGAGCAGGCATGTCAAACTGGTGTATAATGGGCCACATGCTGCCCTCTCACATCTGCTCTGTGGCCCTCAGCTGGTTTAAGGTTATGAAACTATTGTATCCCTAGCTGTTATCACTAACATGATGGTGCAGGAAGTGTGTTATTGCCTCTTTCTATGAAATTAAAGCTCAAGTCCCAGAAATTTAAAAAGATATCCCTTGCGGTGAAGCGGCACCTGCATACACATTTATACTCAATGTTCTGGAAAAGTCTAAATATTTTGGGAAAATGCTGTATGGTGTTGAGCAGGCACCATGCAAGAACAGGTTTGTAGGCGAGTATTCCCTGCAATGACTGTGCTGGGTGATTGAGAACAGGAGAGAATAAAAGCACTAAAAACTATTCCTTACACTACTTTATAAGTGAAGGTCAGTAGTCTGACTGCGTCCTTCTCAAATCCTGCTTCCCATACCTTGAATAAAGAAGTGACCTGGCTATCATGAAGAGAGTTGTGAGTGGCTATAGTTGGCAGCTCATTTTCAGTTCTTTCTGCAACCACTTCACTTAAATAAATGCAGATTGAATAAATCACATGTATGACAACTAAATTATAAGAAAGGAACACAAAAGGATTTTCTTTTTTTAAATGGCAGGAACTAACATGGTATCTCTGTTGGAGATTGGTAGGTACCACACTTAAAGCAAGCATCACTGGTACCATGAATGCCTTGATTAAAGTACAACAATGGCCTCCCATTAAAAAATATGTGCTACAGCACTTAATTAAAAGTAAATCTCTATAAAGGCTTCTTTCACATGGATGGCCAGGGAGCAGTAAACAGGCAGTTTATCATGGCTTCACTGACCCCTGACCACCAACCTAAAACAAGCATGCAGCTGGAGGCTGCTGTACACATGCCAAGGCACCTAATTTAGCATCCTGTGATGTGGTGGCATCGCTGGTGCACAGCTCTTGAATTTAGAGCAGAGTTGCCACTCTTGTGTAGACTGTGCCCGCTTACACTACACAGGGATGAGAAGATGTTGCAAGGGCTTTTAGCATTGTCAGCACTGATTAACAAATCTGTATCTTGTCAGTCAGCACCTGGCTGCACCTAGCCCTGCCTACTACTTTCTTGATTGATGGTGATGCCTTTGCTGTAACTCTTTCACTGTCTGCAGAAATGTCTGGGAGGGGGAACGACACAAAGGAAAACACAAAAGAAGTAAGAATTCAGGGGAGATGAAAGTAGTATTTTGAGCAGCACACAGTAAGGGCTCGTTTACACTTGACTAATTTCTAACTCTTGCCAAACGCCCCTATAGGGTTTGACAGGCGTTAGACTGGCATTTGGGAAGCATTTTTAACGCTCCCCAAACACTCCCCGAACGCCCTATGTGCGATTTTGAGGCATTTGGTAGGCGTTTGCCAAGTGTTAAAACCACGCCACAAACACCTATAATTAAGTTTAATGGTATTAACGCTCCACAAACGCCTAGCAAACACCCCACAAATGCCTGCCAGGTGTTTGAGGAGCATCACCATAGACTTGAATGGGAGACTTCAACTCCTCCTCACTGGACATGAGGCGTCAGTTTTGCCACGATGCGATGCTAATGCTTCAGTGTGAACAGCACTGTGTAGAATTTTCATAGGCGTTTGAGGAGCATTAAAAACGCTTCCCAAACGCCTGTCTAATGCCCGTGAACAAAACTAGTGTGAACTACGCCTAACTGATTTTGTTTCTTTAGTTGTACTTCAACATGGCAATACTGTAACCTATGTACTGTGGCACTATTTTAGCCAATAGCCTATCTATAGATGGCACTGTAGCTTCAGTCTAAATTGAAAAATCTAGGGGGTGATTTTTGATGCTAGTTTACCTGTGATCCACACATACAAAATGCTGTCAGAACATCTTTTTTTTCCACTTGAGAAACATTGTTCAGCTGTGTCCTATGCTATCATACACTGTAGCTGAAAAGCTGATCCATACATTTGTGCTCTCCTGACTTGACTACTGCAGTGCTCTACTCGCTGGTGTACCTAAATCCACTATTAATCAACTTTAATATGTACAAAATTCTGCAGCCAGAATCCTGACTAGGTCTGGTACAAGTGATCATATTACCTACAGGCTACCAGTCGGGTTTTGCATAGACTTTAAAGGATAAGTTCACCTTTCATAACATGTTACATGTTACACGCATATTCAGATTGTAACATGTAGCATGTCAAGAAAGCACCGCTGATTCCCCGCTTTGACAGCTAGTGGGGGATCTTCTCCTGCCTGCTAGCTGTCAAATTAAAAAAAAAAACATGGCTGTGCAAGGCTCCGCCCACACGTCCGCATCATTCATTAACAGTGTTCTGTGAATGAATGAACTACAAGTCCCAACATCCTTAGCGGCTCTCGGCTTGTAGTTCTCAATGAACTACCACGGCACTGTGGAGCGGCATGGTAGTTCATCCAGTCTTCCGGTCAGTACATCTGCTTGCTCGTACATCCTGTACGGGCAAGCAGATATACTGACAGATCTGCAGGAGACCTGCATGGCACCATCAATCTGCTGAATGCTGGAGTAATGCTTTATAGGCTCCTGCAGCAAAAAATAATAAATGCACATTTTTCTATCTGAAAAAAAATGCCTTTTTCTATTTTTCTTCAAAAGGTGAACTTATCCTTTAAGAGCCTCTTGCTCACCTATAAGGCTCTTCTTGGTTTGGCACCCTATTATCACTCTGAACTTATATTAAAGCGGTAGTAAAGTCATTACAAATAATCCACAGCAAGCCTAATATCACAATATAATGCATTTATAGATGCAAGGAGATATGCAGGAACATCATATCTGTGTCTTATTATTTATCTTTATTATAATTTTGCTCCCTTCCAGCTGAAGACAGCGCCACTCTCTCATGTCAATGCAGAAATCTCACATATGCGCAATGCAAGTAAACCAAGCCTCAGTTTCATCTAACGTTGCAATGGTGCTTTAGCCCCGCATAGACAATCAGAATACACATGCAAATCTGTGGTCCTGCTCCCTCCCTGTGCCGATGCTGAATGTGATTGTACACACCTCTTGTGACATAGCTAGTCACATGGGTGTTTCATAAGTTTGTGAATAGTCAGAACTCTCATCGGATTGCAATGCAATGCTGTGCAGTGATGCTGACAGAAGCAGAGCACAGCACCTGCATGAATAGACTGATGGCACGCTAAGCCTGCTGTCAATCAAGAGCAAGATGCGCATGTGCGAATGATATCATTGCAACAAACAGGGTGAAATCTCCTAAATAGCACAAGCTATAATACTGTTAAAGACACCTGCTTGTGAGCCATTTCGGAATGGTTTATATGGCACAAAGTAGGGCAGGAGAGTTTACTACCACTTTAACTTAATTCCCCATGTAACCTCCACTCCTCTAATTCTGGTCTTCTGTGTGCCCCCCGCCCCACTCACCTACACTCAATGGGAGACAGAGCCTTCTCCTGCTATACTCCAAAACTCTGGAATTATCTTCCAAAGAACATCAGAGAGTAATATTCTCTAAACTCATTTAAATCAAATCTAAAAACTTTTTCTTTAGACTAGCATTCATGTAATTGTCCCTTTTTTCTTTTCTTTTATCCTGCGTATTTCTTGTGTTTTCTTTGTAAAGCGCTTTGAGAAGCTACCTTTAAAAGCGCTATATAAAATAAAGTGTATTATTATAATTTGAATTCTGTTAACAAGGCACTTAATGTACTTATGAAATGGCATAGTGCTGCCTGTGCAGTAGAATAGAGATCCCCCTTTAATAAGAGGCTTAACATCTGCTCCTGCAAATTTTCCTCTTTATAGTGAGGTTCCAACTGAATACTTGATAATATTTAGTTTACCTTCATATCCTTTTGATATTTGCTCCACACTTCTTTGGTAAGACCACCCGAAGCATCACTTGGTTTGTCTGGTGGAATAATGGAGTGATGGACAAGGGCAGAGAGATGAGTTCGAACTGTGGACAGGTGACGGCAATAGGCGAGCCCTGATGAAGAAGTGGGACAACAGTTTCTTAAAGACCATTTGTGTAAATGGCACATGCTAAATAAGATTAAGACTTATAGGACAACTGGCAGTTATTTCATAGCTACAAGAATTTAGGGCACTGCATACATTTTCCATAGGCCTGTTGTAAATATCCACTGCTTAAAGTAGAATTCCAGTCAAATTCTAACTATGCCTAAACCTACTCCCACCCCCATTCTTAGCCTATTCTGACTACCCTGTAAAAGAAAGAAGTCTATAATTACCTAATCTGAGTGCACTTTGGTCCGGTCACATGGTCTCCCCGCCGACCGGCTTCAGTGCAGAGGAGAGATCCAACTGCAGAGCCTGGGCAGTGACATCACCTATAGGCTTACTATGGGGCATCTGTTGTTGGCTGTCTTCACTGAAGCCAGTACTTAGAGCTGATCATGTGACTGGACCGGAGCACCTTCAGAATAGGTAAGCATAAACATATTTCCTTTTTTTAAATAATTTTTTTTTATTTCTTTTACACAAAGGTTCAAACACAGTGCACAAAATTAAACATAGACCCAAACAACGTACAAAAATGGGGTAGGAGACCCCAAGACTACAACAGTCAAAATAGCAAGTGAGAGACCAGAACAAAAAGGGGGGGATGACTAGACAATTTGTTCTCTTAACTGATCATGCAGTGTCATGCATTGAAAATTCTTCATGTTAGGTAGCCTCGCAGGGCTCCGACAAGGCACACACAGCCATAGAATAGCAGTTCAAAAAAGTATAGTCAAAAACATAAAATAAAGCAAAACCTTTGAGAACCACCCAAACTAAACCCCCAGCCCGCACCCCCCAATGTACTTCCAAGCAGCAGCCCCCAATGCGAACCTATAAAGAAATTTCTTCAAAAATCAGACCAGAGGTATGTCTATAGCCAAAGTGGGCTAGAAATTTAGGATCTATAAACTGTATGGTCATATTGCAAAGGACTAATCAAAGCTTTGTGGCAAAAGCAAATCAATTCACTACTGGGCTATATCTCACCAGGTCAAAGTAAAATAACTGAAGATAGCCAGGGGCCATCATAGACCATCAAACGAATGGATAGAACTAATGCAATGAAGAAGTAGGTTATTAGAGGGCAGGATGTGCCGGAGGAAGGCTCAGGCACTGGCTGAGGATTTGGGCAGCTAGGGCTGCCAGAACTTGTTGAATTTTCTGGTGCACCCCCTGCTTAGATACGTGATCTCATAGTAGGGCATCATTTTATTAACCAGACCCTTGCAGCATGATAAGCTTGGTGCCAGAGGTTGTTTCCAGTAAAGAACAATAGCCTTACTGATGTAAAGAAAGAGGATACTCAGAAGGTTTCTTTGTGCCCTAGTCATAGCCACTCCCTCTACCAGACCCATCAAACACACCGATACTGTTAGTGGAATGGGAAGGGCCAATACTCGCTTCAAAAACGCGAGCACCTCTTTCCAAGGTGATTGAGCCACTGGGCAATATCATAAAATATGACCAAAAGCGGCCAGAGAGTGCGCTAACACTCTGTGGAGACCGATGGATAAATGGTAGATAATTTGGCTGGTGTATAATAAATCCTATGTAAAAATGTTAAGTGTACAAGCCTATCTGTAGCTGACACCAGATGGTTGAAGGGTAGGTCTCACATATTATCCCAGTCCTCCCCTTGAAGATCTGGGACATCATCCACTCACTTAGCCCGACATTTTGCTACTGATAGAGGGGGAACCGGAAACAGCTCTTTATAGACTTCCGAGAGTGGCTTTTTAAGGGAATCATCCAATAGCAATACTTCAATAACAGAAGTATGAACCTCTGTACAGTCAGAGCAAAACTTGACCACAAAAGCATGGCACAATGGTAGATATCTAAATAGATAATGGATAGGTAGATTAAAGATGGTCTTCAAATCATCAAAAGTTAACAAGTATAGTTAGTATTTGACTGGAATTCTACTTTAAGTCTATAAAAATAATTCTCAATACTGTTGACAATGATAGCTTCCTGTCCATTTCCTTTTACTTCTATCATTCTATTTAATCTGAAACTTTTATATTATAATATATAGCACAATAATATCTGAAACCTAAATATTTTAGGAAATACATCTTAACTGCCCATAAACACCCATATTTCAGAAAAGCAACACTCGTATGGCAGCAAAAATAGTTCTTATTCATGATCAAACTGGGTGGAAAGTTCTTTTGCTAAACAAACTAATTATTCTTGGTATTTCTGCTACACTTTTGATCAGCTGATATATATTGGTAGCAGATCCACTTATTTTAGAGAATCTATATTGTTACTTACAACCATAGAATGCTCGGGATACAATCTGTCTCTTCATATTTTCACATAATAGTTTGAGTGGTGTCCTGTAGATAAATAAGTAATTCACTGTCACATGTGAAAGAAGTGACACATAATATCTGTATTTTCCACTGAAATATTCATTTTGGTGTTTAATTTTTAAAATATAATAATGTTAAATATTAAAAAATACAACTTTTTATACAATATGGAACAGCAATACCAACATCGGGGGTGATGTTTGAAAAAGTGGGGATTAGATGTCCTCCACAAAGGATAGATGCTTACTTTAATTTTTTTGACATGCACAGAAAAACATCAGCAGGAGTCTGTCTGGTTTAACCCTTGCAAGAATACGTTATGTTTTTTTTTTGCATAATCTTTTAAAAAAATCCTTGCTCTGTGTATTTCAGGCAGACAAATGCACAAACATGTAAAATAAAAAACCTTGCATGTATATATTTGTTTTAATACTGGAATTGTATCCAACAATTATAGTTAACAAAAGCACATTATCACCTTTGGGCTACAGTGGAGTGCACAGCCTGAAGGCATATTTTTTCAACTACTCCTCCAGCATGCATGTGATCATTATGCCATAGCTGACATAGTGATAGTGATCACTTGACTGAAAATAACTCTTGTTTCTCTTCATTAGTAGGGATGTGAGCTGTCAGTGACAGCCAGGTTTGAGAAATAGCAGCAGCACAATGTGTTGGCAGCAAAATTTCAAAGGGGGCATTTATTAACTTATCATAAACACAGAGCAAGTTCATATAAGTTCACAGTAAGTTCATATAAGTATTGTGGGTCAGAAGGCAATAATGATAAAGAAAAAGCCTCTTCCTTTCCCCCCGTTGTTATATGTCATTCAGGGAGACCACAATTCCTTTTGCTTGAACTGTCCTTAGAAACAAGAATCAGAGCTATCACATGGCTGATGACTCTCTCTGTTGCCATGGGGGCAAGTGCCATGAAGCAGTGCTTTTACATGCTCCTCCATACACAAATGTACTGCAGCACAGTGGCTAAATGGTTAGCACTTCCTCCTGGCAGTACTAGGGTCATTGGTTCAAATATCAACCATGGCACCACCTGCCTGGAGTTTGCATGTTCTCCCTGTGCCTGCGTATGTTTCCTCCGGGTACTCCGGTTTCTTCCCACACTCCAAAGACATGCTGGTAAGTTAATTGGCTCCTGTCTAAATTGCCCTTGTATGTATGAATGTAAGTTAGGGACCCTAGATTGCACACCCCTTGAGGATTAGGGACTGATGTGAATGTATAACATATATGTAAAGCCCTGCTTTAATTGGCAGTGCTATATTAGTACTTTAAATAAATAAATAATACTCCAATGGAGGAATGAAGGAAAGGTGAGTATATATAGCTGGGGAGGAGGCATTAAAGTGAACCTGCAGTTTTTGCCTGCAATGAGCAATGCACAAATGTGCTTTATATTCCTTGATTTAAGCAAAGTCTTTTGGTTCCTATAAACACATTTAGCGGTTGCTAAGAATATAACTCAGTGTTACACAGGCGGGGACTCACCTGTCATGGATGCAGCTGCAACAGCTGGGAATATCATATGGAGAGCTTCCTGTGGAGCAGGATAGACAGGACGATCCCTGACTGCAAGGCTCATTATGTTGCCAGGGCATAAGATTAGAACCAAAGCCTTGCATCTCTATCACGTCGCCAGAGTCTGGAGAGACATATCAATCAAACATTGGACACGACAGATATATCCAATATGTATTGTGTTTACAAACAATTGGGGTTATCAAACAAACACCTACATGCACTCATGATGCATCATCTGTCGACAGGAATTGCCATTACTTTCATTTCCATGCTCCACTTTGTAGTACATCAGCCCGTTATCTTTATGTAGACTTTTTAAAAGTAACAATGTATTGGGGAAAGGTTTTGTGATAAATGTTTCAAGATTACATAACCTGGTTTGTAGGGTTAGGTATAGGTGACATGGAACCCCCATAGGTAAGTATCTTGAGTGAAAGAATGACACAATAAGAAAGAATAAACAAATAAAGCCATCCTTTTGGGTGAGCTCCAATGGATGCTTCGTTTTAATAATATTTTCTGTTATTTATCTTATGTTCTAGCAGTGAATTATTAGGTCACTGTGCACAAAACCGATATTTTAGTCTTCAGGCAGATGCTGGTAGGTTTTTCAGTATGCTATGAGATCTTGGTGCTTGGGTTCTCAGCTGCCAACATGCCAATACAAGTGGCCTTAAGTTTCACGCTTCCTGCTGACATTTTCATATTTACTGCAGAGAAATCAGCAGAAAAATTTGACTCCCGATACCAGGGCGGACTGACAACTCATGGGGCCCCCGGGCAACAGGGGATCATGGGGCCCCTGTGTCCTTGCCCAAACTCAAAAAAGCCTATGAAAAAGGTACCAGGGGCATCTCATGGAGCCCCCTACTAACCCCGGGCCCTCGGGCAGTGCCCAAGTTTCCAAATGGTCAGTCCGTCCCTGCCCAATACTGTATTGGGTGTTGGGGGCACAGCTCATTTATTTGGCATTGAGTTCTTCTCACTTCTGAAGTGTCCCTTGATTAGAAGAGGTCACTAGGTGTTGGAGTTTATTAGCATCTACCCATGAACAAAATATCAGTTTTCCATGAAGTGACCTATTAAAATATATCTAAAGCCAGAATTTTTTATACTTTGTTTTAGACAGAGTAGGGAATTGATAAAACCCTATCACATCTCCCATTGGGGAGATTTGCCTTAACTTCCTATCCTGAAGATGCAACAATCCCCTTAGACAGTTGTCACCCATGTCCCCACTGAAAAAAAATTTGCCAATAATCCAGTTCAAGTGACGACTCAAAATTAGGGATTTTATGTAATTTCCAGTACAATTTATAACAGTTTCCAGAACGAATACAAAAGGTGACTCTTCCCGGGGGAAGGGGGGTCACATCACTAAAAACCTGACAGATGTTCTAGCTATCCCCTACTCTATGCAAAAGTTATGGCCTTAACATTCTGCTAGTCCTGTAAAAACATATGCCGTCTGGAAATATATTTTCTCATAAATTATGAAGGTTAATGTATTACAATATACTAATTAAAAGTCTCTGCATCAGACTCTTGTTTTTTCTTGTATGCCTTCTGCAAGTAATTTTATAGTTCAATGTATCCATAGGAAAAACTATAAATCTATCATTTGGAAACAGTCTCCATATTAACAGGGAAAATAGTTGGGACTCTTTATAAAGCATATTTAATATGAATACACATCTTTTCATGATGGGGCTATCTGTATTCTTTTATATGGCTGTAGGTTTGGAATGTGTTGGTCATAGCCCTGCAGAGGCAGGTAATGTTTACCAATCAGTGAAAGATAGGCGCAGCACTATAGCTGTGATGCCTCTGACACCTTCTTTTGAACAAGTTAGTATAACCATCTAATATAGGCTAACTTTGCCAACCAATTCTATAAGCACAACGGACTTCCTTAAAGCAGAACTCCAGGCAAATCACTAAATGCACAGTTAAAAATACACTTTTAATTACTGTCTTATGGGATGTATACTTCTGTCCAGCCTTGTTTGTGTTTCACACACCACTGACCAGTCTATACAACCAGTTAGAAGACAACCATATTTCCTAAGTCAGCTTTTTATATCACCTCTCCACCTCCAACCTGCTTACAGATAATAATGAATCAACATCACTACCTATGACCAAGAGCAGAAAGATAACTCAGGAACCAATAAAGCTGAACCAAGATGAAAGAGTGATTTTCCTGGCTGTACAGTGTGGCAGAGGTATGTGAATCTCATAAATTGCTATTCAGAATTACAATATTATTTTGCAAATAAGACAACAAGCAGATATTTATTTTACTGTGTATTTAGAAATTTTAAGTACAGCACTAAGGCAAACCGCTAATGACAATGTTGAAATACACATATGCTGAGTTATTTGACACAGGATTTGCAATTCTGTTCAGCTATTTTTGTGTTTTATACTTCCCTGCCATACTGGACAGCCAGAAAGATCACACTGCTATTTCTTGCATTATCATTACTGCTTCAGCTACTTCCTTTATTAGCATCTTGCTCACTAGACAGAAGTGATGATGCTTATTATTTCTCCAGCAATGAAAAAAAAGTAATTATTGGAGTCCATACAGAATCCACAAGGTTTGAGTTTATTTATTAAAAATCAAATGGTCCTGTATACAGCAGAAAGTGAAAGCATTTTAGCTTGCAAAGTCTTACTTATAGCTCAGTCCAGCGACAAAGCCTGAAGCGTAGAGGTGACAGAAAGCTGATTTGCTAAACCGGGAAATAAGTGCATCGCCTGTCTGGCTGTACAGTGCTGAAGAGGGGTGTAAATCACAAGATAGGCTAAACACATGTACCTTCGACAGGCAAACAGTAAGCATAATTAATTTGCCTGAAGTTCAGCTTATTCTGCAAAAATGAACATATTTGAAAATGTTTGGGCCTTTCAGCTCCCCCCATGACATGAATTAAGTTACCAAATTCATGCTTTATAAGCTTATGCTTAAAACTCCCAAGCACAATGCGCAAAAGTACACAAAAAAGAGTCAGGCAATTCATTTCTGCTGGGCAGCAAGCCATGGTAAGATGTTCAAATCATAAGCCTTACCACAAAGAAAAGGGTTAATAAAAAGAAAAAGCTTAAGTCAGCACAGGTGCATAAGGAACATGACAAGGAACATATAGGGAATACTGATTCATGCATCAAAACAACTGTCAGGTGCAATGAGGGAATTTACTAAACAGGCACCAGCTGTGGCAGCAAAAACAACAAATAAAAAGAAACTAAAGTCACCCATTTCCCTTATTTATTTTTTCAATTTCTGCCTACTAACATATTGCCATTATTTGTATATAAATATTAATTTGAACAATTTGGAAAAAACATCTCAATCGTAGGCAATTAATGTTAAGTAGTTTACATTTCCTATAGACAGGTAGATAATTAATAACTTATTGATTTTGATCAGTGGGAAAGGGGTTAAGTATAAGCACTAAAAATAATTTGCAGCTAAGTACATGCATGCTAAAACGTATAAAAAAAGAATTGCTAAGGAAAGCCAAGGTTAATGAAAAAATGCTCTTCACCTTAATTCTTCAGGGAGGGAGCTGGATGGCCAAAACCATACTGCATCTTTTATTATGATACAAGATTACAAATTAATTGTATAAAAGAACAAGATGCCCCCCTCCCCCACCGTGTGCCACAATTGTTTGGATTAAGGTAATACCAATAATTGAAGGGCCCAAGAAAAAAAGTATACCAAAAAATGAAAAATAACCAAGTGTAAAAAAAAATATAAAATTTATAAATAAAAGTTTACAAAATGTAAAATCAGAACCCCACAGAACCTAAAGATCCAGATGAAAGGTACCGCAGTCGTTGAAGAATTATAAGTGAACAGCATCCTCATTATTTTGTTCCATTCATCATTTGTTTGGGAAGCTGCAAAATTGGCCACATGCAAAGGTCGAGCATGTTGCAAACACCAGCAGACAAGGGAAAGCAAACCCTGTAACAACAGTGATGTCATTATCATCAGGCAAGGATACAACGTATGCATACAAGTGTCTCCATTATGACCATTTCATCAGTGATCAATGCAAGTCTAAGCCTTCCATGCCGCAATTTTATCATCTATAGCTGTGTTTTCTATAAGGTGGCATAATAAAGTGTATAGAAACGTGAAAGCCAAGAATTTTGGTTTAGGCTGCCTGCTGAATACATTATCCAAACTTATTAAATATATTATATATTTGCTATTCATGCTAAATAGATGCCCTTAACCTGAACAGTACAATTAAACATTTACTTTTGGCTACAGGCTAATCTCACCTAAAACTACCAATGTAGGTGAGCTAAAGTGAAATTATAGTCAAAACATTTTGGGGGATAGAGTAGAGAAGGGTTAAACCCCTCCAGGTTAATGTTTTGCTGTCAGTGTACCATTGTTGAAATATATCTTCAATTCCTGCTGCAGAAGAAACACAATAGGAAATTAGAGAAAATCTCCCAAAGCGATGGAAACTCCATTCTTAGACACTTAGCCTGGGTTCACACTGATGCAGTGCGAAATTTGCACCGGTTTCTGTGAGATTTCCGCACCACATCATAATCGTGACCCCATTCACACGAACTATTGCAGGTGTGTATTTTAAGTTAACAACACTCCAAAATCAGTTAGCAAAACTGTGATGTGCAGAATCAGATCGCATGGGTGTGAACACCCATGTGATCCGATTCTAGTGCGGACCACAAAAAGGGTCCTGTACCTTTTTGGTGCGAATGTGGTGCACTTTGAGCCATACGAAATGTATGGCTCAAATCGCACTGCACAGAATTCACATGTGATTTGCACAGGAATGCGGTGCGGTGCAGTTGCTGTGCGAATCACATGCGGTATGTTGCACTGCACAAGTGTGAACCCAGGCTCAAACACAATATCCAAAACCAAAAAAGGTTTGGCCTATAGAGACAGTTTATATCAACTATTGGCTTCTTCGAGTAATTGGGGGACTTTTCCCTGTGCAATGGCCATTTTAAAATCACATTTCACTGCATCTACTTCATGCTCAATAATGTAAAAAAAACAAAACATCATAATGTGCAGAAGGAAACAGTTGGAGCTGGAGGTTCTTTGGCAGAAATATCACT